TGTTTGGGAAAGACATGGAGTGCCGTGCTGGCTGCATGTGGAATGTGAGTGGCTTGATCAGCCCGACCCAGCTCGGCTCCTCTTCCCCCCAAACCCACAATCCCCCAGCCCCCTCCAAGCCCCACCAGTGTCCCTCCTTCCCCCTGCCTCTCTGGGCAGGGTTGGGGTTGTCCCGCCCTTTTTGCAATCACCTTCTGCAGGCTGGAACTCTGCCAGCCTGCAGAGCTCTTTGCAAAAGCAGAAAATCCATGGCTTTCTTTACTAAAAGGGAAAATCTGCATTTTGTCTGATAAAAATGGGAAATCCATGGTTTTCTCCATTTTCTGTGGGAAATGGCATACCCGGATCCCTGCTGATCACCAAGCTCCCAGTAGGAGTGGAGCTAAACTACCAAATGGATAGTAAGCTGTTTCATCTCAGATAACTTCAAGCCAAAACCAAAACCATCCCGATCTCCATCATTGAACTCCAGTATGATGACGATACTGTACTATGTGCTCAGTCGGAAGCAGACCCTCAGGCAATCATCAATGTCTTTACCAAGGTATACAAGGAAAATGGGAGTGATGCTTAACATTTATGAAGACTAAGGTCTTGGATCAAGAAGCTCTTAATGAGCAGACCCCAGCTCCAATAATTCAGATTCAGTGTAAGACTCTGGAGAATGTTATTTCCTGTACCTCAAAAGTCATCTCGCAGAAGGCTGACATTGACAAAGAAATCCAGCATCACCTCAAATATGCAAGGGCAGCCTTCATATGCGTGAGAAAATGGGTGTTTGAAGATGGTGATGGCAGATCCAAAACCAAGCTTATGGTTTTATTAAGCAGTTGTGATCCCCAACCTTATTGTAGGGAGCTGAGATGTGGAACAGGTACAGGAGACACCTCAAGTTGCTGAAGAAGTACTATAAACACTGCCTGCAGAAGATCCTTCAAATCCAGTGGGAAAATAACATTAGTGTCCTCTGCAAGCAAATGCTATGAGTATAATGATCATCTGATATCAAGCTTACTATGCCAGCCACATCATTTGAATGTTCAACTCCACACTCCCCAAAACAAGCTTTATTCTCCCAGCTCATTCAAGTCGTACACTCAAGAAGAGGGCAGAGAAAGTGCTTCAGGGACATCCTCAAGGCCAGCTTGAAAAAAATGCTACATCAATATCAACTTGTGGGAAATTATTGGCCAGGACTACTCTAAATGAGGAAGTCTGCTGCATGGATCTCAGTACTTTGAAACCTTACGACAACAGGAGATGGAAAAATATGAGCAGCAGAAACAGCATGTTGTAGACCAAACTAAGAACCCAGAGCCACCCACTGCACATGGAAACGTGTGCCCAAGTTGCAACAGAGTCTGTTGATCCCAGATAGGTCTTGTCAGCCATCTTTGGACCCACAGATAAAACAATCATGGAAAACAATCATACTCAACTGCGAGGGATTGTTAATGATGAGTTAGCAGAAACATAGAAACAAGAGATAATTTTACATCGTGATATTTTAATATTTAAAAGGTTAATAGTGCATTCTGTTCAGTTTAACAGAAGCTGACACTGTCACCAACTTAAGCCTGAGGTGAAAAGCATTTACAATGCCCACTAAGTTTTCCATGACAAAAATGAATACCTTTTTCATTTGAGTTAAAAGTTCCACTTCCAGTTTGCCCAGACTTGCTCCCTCAGCTGCATGTTTTACCATGTTAATGAGACATTTTGCAAGGTTTACTGCTGACATGTTAGCAGCAGACAAAGCTCTCTTTCACTGAGCACATAATCGTGATCTGGTACAGGGCACTAAAAACATGGATATTCAACTAAATAAAGTTCTCCATTGTTTTGTTAATATTCATGGTTTGACTAAAAAATAAAATCACAGCACCCTAGAACTGTATCTTTTACTGAAGCACTGAAACCAAAATCTCTTGTGTAGTAAACTCTGATTGCTAGCCTATTCTTAATTATTGGTTATTTAGGTAGTTTTCAATTATCAATTAAATGTATTCTAAAGTATTTTGTGTATTTCGTAACTAAAAAATTGAAGAAAAAAAGCATACTACAAATAGTATGGAAGAAGTGGGAAGAGTAGATTGTTAAAATGTAACATTTCCTTCTGAATTAAATGTGAACACACCACCTTACCCTCTGCTTAAGGATGTTTGATTGTTATAACCAACTGAAAATTCCCATTTCCAATTTCACATCTAAACACCCAGAAGCATAAAATCTTTCCCTTTCTGAGTCATGTGTGTCCTACCTATATAATTTCTGGAGTGTAGCTTTGAAGCATTTTGCAAAACATTAATGGATGAAATAATTTTGAGGTTATTGGCAATTGATATACTAAAAGAACCATACCGTTCTTTCTAAGATGAAAAAAATGTGGTTGTCATGGGTGACCTAAACTACCCAGACATCTGCTGGGAGGAGCAGTCACCCAGGCCCGACCATTCATGTAGGTTCCTAGCTGGGATACAGGACCTTCACCTAACCCAGGAGTTGCATAGCCCACCAGGGACATGCCTTGCTGGACTTGGTCCTTGCCACAGGCGACGGCCTGGTGAAGGGTCTACGGGTACTCGACCACCTGGGCGACAGTGATCATTGCCTGCTGGAATTCACTATCCAGCACAGGGTGGTGAAAGCAAGCAGCAAGGCAGAGGTCCTTGACTTCAGGAGAGCCGACTTCTGTAAGCTAAGAAGGTTAGTAGGAGAGGCATTGGGGTTCAATGAGATGGGAGTCCAAGACGAGTGGTTGTTCCTCAAGGAGATGATCGTCCAAGCTCAAAGGGAGTCAGTCCCAATGCACATCAAGGAGGGCAGGAGTACTAAGAAGCCCCCATGACTCGGCAAAGGCATCCAGGGATGCCTGAGGGCAAAAAAGGAGGCGTACAAACAGTGGAAGCAAGGGGCTATCATCAAGGAGGATTACACCTCCATTGCTCGGGACTGCAGGGAGGCTGTTAGGAAGGCCAAGGCAGAGAATGAGCTAGGTCTAGCAACCAGAATTAAGGATAATAAAAAGTCATTTTTCAAATATATAGGAAGTAAGAAGGCAGCACCGGGTAATGTGAGGCCCCTACAGGATAGGCTTGGCAATCTGGTAACTGCGGCAAATGAAAAAACTGACCTCTTTAACAAATTCTTTGCCTCCATATATCTGAACAGGGACTGGGACATCTCCCCCACTAGAATTGTGGACAGATCCAAGGGAGGCACCACTATGCCTAGGGTCAGGGACAACCTAGTTAGGGAACTTTTGGAGGGGCTGGACATGTTTAAATCAGTAGGTCCAGATGCTCTTCACTCGAGGGTGCTGAGGGAATTGGCAGGGGTCATAGTGGGGCCCCTGGCATGCCTCTATGAGCACTCATGGGCCATTGGCCAGGTACCAGAGGATTGGAAAAGGGCCAATGTGTTCCCCATTTACAAGAAGGGGAGAAAACAATTATAGGCCAGTCAGTCTTACCTCAGTCCTTGGGAAGACCTTTGAGAAAATTATCAAGGAGCACATCTGCAAGGGCCCAGCAGGGGAGGTAGATCTAGACAAATTACAGAGGTGGGCGGATGAAAATAGGATAGAATTCAAAGCAGACAAGTGCAAGGTACTGCATCTAGGGAAAAGAAACCAGCAACATACGTATATGCTGGGGAACACCCTTCTTGTCAACACGGTGGCAGAAAGGGATCTTGGAGTCAATGCTGACTCCAAGAAAGACACGAGCCACCAATGCGAGGAAGCAGTCAGTAAGGCTAACTGCACCTTGTTGTGCATCTACAGATGCATCGCAAGCAGGTCCAGGGGAGTGATCCTTCTTCCCCTCTGTGCAGCATTGGTCAGGCCACAGTTGGAGTACTGCGTCCAGTTCTGGGCACCGCAATCCAAGAGGGATGTGGCTAGCATTGAGAGGGTCCAGAGGAGGGCCACTCACATGGTCAAGGGGCAGCAGGGCAGGCCCTATGAAGAGAGGCTAAAGGCCTGAACCTATTCAGCCTCCACAAGAGAAGGCTGAGAGGGGATCTGATGGCCATTTACAAACTCACTAGTGGGGGGACCAGCTGGAATTGGGGGAGGCTCTGTTCCCCCGGGCACCAACCAGAGATAAGGTTCAGGCTGGACATCAGGAGACATTAGTTTACAGTTAGGGCTGCCAGGCTCTGGAATGGGCTCCCAAGTGAGATGGTACTCTCTCCTACCTTGGGGGTCTTCAAGAGGAGGCGGGACAGATAGTTGGCTGAGGTGATATGATCCTGGCATCCATTCCTTCCCAGGGCAAGGGGTTGGACCTGATGATCTGTTTAGATCTCTTCTGACCCTAAGTTCTATGATACTATGAGAGATGACACTGAAAGGCAAGCCGCACTAACAATGAGTGGCCATCCTGGAGGCTGGCGCATGGATGGGGTGTAAGGGAGGTAGAGCCCCATGGATACCCACCACGAGGTGCAGCTGATTGGAGAGAGTCCACAGGAAGAGAGCCCACCACTGAAAGAAAGATCAAAGTCATGGCAGGCGAGTCTCTGGACTTCTCTTGAGGTGATCGCGGACTGTTTCAGAGATCGGTGGAACTCATACAGCAGCCAACACCGGGTTGCATGTGCCACGATGGTGTGTGAGTGCCTCCTCGAGACCAGGTGGGCACAATCACATTATGTCTGATAGTTTTAAACATGCTGAAATGAATGATCACATATTACAATGAAAATAAATAGTATCTTAATGTTATGAATTCTTGTATATTTATAAAGGGTTTTTGCTTGTAGCTGTGTTGGTCTAAGGACATAGGCAGGCAAGGTTCTTTGAGTAGATGTGATATTTTTTATTAGACTGAGTAGTTGGAAAAAAGTTCTTGGCAAGCTTTCAGGTGCCGTCACCCTTCTTCATAGGCTCATTTTTCCTGTTATGATTCACAGGCCTTACAAAAGCAATCTTTCGAAACACTTTACTTGCAGAGAATAGGGAGAAAAGTTTTGAAAAAGAAGCCAAACAAGCAGAATTCTTCGTCCAATTCTTTATTTTATGTCAAGGAAGTGTTTACAGTTACAAGGAACCCATTTCCCCAGTTCTTTTCTTGAAAGCTGCTTGGATGTATTGGAACTTGGTACTGAAATAAATGTGTAGTTAAAAAGCCATAGTCACCTGTGCCTTGCAGCTGTATTTATATGACCCTGAGAAAAAGTGTGTACAGGCAAGTCACTGTAGAGGTTTATACTTGCAGTTAATTAGAGCTGTGCTTTTTTTTTTTTTAACTTGCTGAAGTTATTGCTCAGTACATACAGGCATCTGGGGATGCTATTTTAAACTAATACCCATTGTAAAGAGTGCCATGGTATTTCTTTATTACAAACAGCCAAGAAGGTTTAATATAAATTTGTAAAACAATCAGCTGACTGTACATTTCATTTACAGTTTACAATTCAAAAAGTTATGTGCAGTTTAAAAACCTGCTTTATGACATTAGCCCCGGGCCACAAAGAACTTGGCAGTACTACTACAACTTTAATGGCTAGGGAGTGAAAATCAACCACTCAATTACATCATCTAACTCCATTATGAAAGTGGAATACATACATACATCATTGTACCCGGAAGGTTAATTTTTAACTAGAAACAGTCATTATGTTGTAATTCTTGGAAGGGCTGGATCTGCCAATTCTCCACTCTTTACAGCGGCTCCGGCACTCCAGTGCTCTGGCCGACTTCATGCCAGGTGGGGGGCTTTCATAGAGGACACAGATGGACCCATCTTCACCTATTCGGTAGGACACCTCAAAGGGATCCACCCAAAGTGTTAATTCACTGGGTAAGAGCTGGAAGAGTCTCTGGTGGCTGAGTCCAATCCTACCTGCCGCCTTGCCTATCAGTGGGTCCATCTTGTGGTTGATCCTAATGCAGCGGTACCCGGAGCCTTTGGAGGGCATCTGGGGGAACCAGTGGTGCCTGTAATGGTCTGTGCGAGGCACAAAGAGAAAGGAGAAGCGTTACCGCGCGGGACCCTGGCGTCCCGCCCCCGCGCAGCGGACGGGACGGCGGTGAATTGCTCGCTCGCACTTGGGGGCAGCACGACAGGCACCGCGGGGGCGGGCAAGCCCGCCCAGGGCAGCTGAGGGTCCCGGCTGCGCCTCACCTCGCAGCGCCTCCTGTAGGCAGTCCCCGAAGCAGCGCAGCTGCTCGTCGCCGATGCCTCCGGGGCTGCGCAGCAGGCGGGTGATGAAGCCCGCGGCCGTGGAGATCTCCGCCTTCATGGCCCGGCCCCTACGCTGGACCCGCAGCCAGCGCCTCTCCCGCCGCCGCCGGAGCCCGGGTAAACAGCTGCCCCGGGGCGTGGCTGCGCGCGCCCAACAGCACAGCTCCACGCCTCCTGCGTCACACAGGCCCGGCCTGCCCCCCGATTGGTCGAGCGCCGGGGAAAGGCAGCCAGCGCCGCTCCTGCTGATTGACCGGGACGGGGTAGGCGCGGCATTTGTGGCGGTCTCGCCTGACTTGGATGTTTGTCGAGGGGGCGGCCCCCAACGCCCGGCGACGTGATTGGCTGGCGGTGAAGCGCCGGGCTCGTGGCCGGGGGGTGAGGCTCGTGTGAGCCGGTGCAGCCCTGCAGGGGCTGCCGGGGTCGCCTCGGGCTGGACACGGCCCTGGGTGCTGGCTGGGGAGGCGAAGGTGACGGACGCAGCACGGGCAAGTTTAACGCGTGTCAGGTGACGGCCCTGTTCCCGCGGCTTGGCCCGGGGCACGGCTCTGCCTTGCTGGGAAGGGAAGCAGCCCCGGCATGGATGGGGCGGGAAGGCGGCGCTGGGACCCCGGACAACAAGAGCTTGCGCGAGGCTTAAGACTTAACTTGCCTCGGAGGCGGGTTCTTGATTGACCAGATACAAATATTCGCTGCATTTCGGCTAAAAAGGACGTATGCCAACAGGCTGGTACTGCTGCACTGGTGCTCACACATGAGACTCGAGTCATCCTTCAGAAAATATCAGCTCTTCCTTTTCAGTCTTGTGTGAATTCAGAAAGGCAGTTCTGCTGCTGCAGAGACCTCAGGAAGGCCACAGCATATCACAGTGTTTTAAACGCTGTGGATTCCTAGTTGAAATCTCTGAGGATGATTGTCTTCTGTGATTGTCTTGTCTGTATGTCCAAAGACGGCTGATGAGGCCTATCCGGGATCAACAGACTTTACTGCATCTTGGACATGGTTTCCCTGTGGGATGGGTGGCGCTGGATTTTTCATTTGGTCTGTGACATGCTGTTTGTGCCACTCCTGCTTTTCCATCTGCTGCTGTTGTCATAATGTTTCAAAGTACTGAGCCCTGCAGCAGACTCTTCCTACATTTGTGGCAGTCCTGGGCAAAAGTCTCCCATGAGTTGACACCGAAGTTGCATTTTTTAAAGCTGGCCTTGAGGACATCCCTGAAGCACTTTCTTTGCCCTCTTCTTGAATATACACCTTAGCTGAGCTGGGAGAATAAAACTTGCTTTGGGAATCTGGAGTTGGACATCCAGATGACATGGCCAGCCCAACAAAGTTGATGTTGGGTGATCATTGCCTCAATACTCGTGGTGCTTGGTTGCAGGGGGATGCTAACATTGGTGCATCTCTCTTCCCACTGGATTCGGAGAATCTTCCGCAAGCAGCGTTGATGGTACCTTTCCAACAATTTTAGGTGTCTTCTGTATGTTGCCCACAACTCAGCTCAGTACAGCAAGGTGAGGATCACAACTGCTTGATAAACCATGTCCTTGGTTTTGGATCTGATGTTGTGATCTTTGAACATCCATTTCTTCAGGTGTCTAAAAGCTGCACCTGCATATCTGAAGCGATGTTGGATTTCTTCATTATTGTCAGCCTTCTGCAAGAGATGGCTTCCAAGGTATGGGAAATACTCAACATTCTCCAGAGTCTTACTGTGGCTCTGGATTACTGGAGCTGGGGACTGCCCATTAGGAGTTTATTAGTGGAGGACATCAGTCTTCTGAATGTTAAGCATCAGTCCCATTTTCTTGTATGCCTTAGTAAAGATGTTGATAGTTGCCTGAAGGTCTGCTTCTGAGTGAGTGCATGCTACAGCATCATCAGCATACTGGAGCTCAATGATTGTGGTTGAAGTAGTCTTGGTTTTGGCTTGGAGTCAGCTGAGGTTAAACAGCTTACCTTCCATTCAGTAGGTTTGCACTCTGGCTGGAAGCTTGTTGTTGGTCAGATGTAACATTGTGGCAAGGAATATTGAGAAGAGTTTTGGAGCAAGGACACAACCTTGCTTAACTTCCATTTTAAGTTCAAAGGGATTTGTGATAGATCTATTATTGAGAACCACTGCTCACACACCATCATGGAGCAGGCAGAGAACGGTGATAAATTTTGGTGGGCATCCATACTTCAGAAGGATCCTCCACAACGTTTCTCGGCTGACAGAGTCAAAAGCTTTTGTGAGGTCAAAGAAGGCCATGTAGAGAGGCTTGTGTTGCTCCTGACATTTCTCCTTCAGTTGGCAAGCTGTGAAGATCATGTCAGCTGTGCCTCTTGATACCCTAACCCACAGTGAAATTTTAGGAGGAGCTCTTCAGCAAGTGGAAGGAGATGGTTCAGAAAGGTTCTTGCAATGATCTTTTCTGTGGTGGACAGGAAGATGATCCCTATGTAATTTCCACAGTTGGACTTCTCTCCTTTCTTGAAGACTGTCACAGTCATGGTGTCCCTGAGGTCATCTGGGATTTTCTCATCATTCCAGATCCTTAAGTTGAGGGCATGGACTTGTGATGTGAGCTCCTCTCCCCTCTGTTTTTCAAGATTTCAGTGGGGATTCCATCTGCTCTAGATGCCTTATTGTTCTTCATCTGCTTACTGGCTGTCTTCACCTCGTTAAGGGTTGGAGGGATTCTGAGATCATCTCTGACTAGATGTTGCAGGATGGAGTTGAGACCACCCTTATTAACAGCAGAGACTCATTTGAGAAGGTCTGCAAAATGCTCTTTCCAATGGGCATTGATGGCTCCCCTTTCATTGATCAGGTCTCCTCCATCCTTAGGTCTCAAGAAATTTGGTCCCTGAGTGCCCTGACTAGATGGCTTTGGTAGCACTGAAGAAACCGTGCAGGTTGTGGCGGTCAGCCAGATGTTGGATCTTCTTAGCTTTGTCTTCCCACCATTTGTTCTTCATATTGTGCATCTGCCTTTGGACCTCTGCCTTGGCTTGTTGGAGATTCAGTTTCTTTTGCTTGGAGCTGGTGCCATTTTGCCAAGCACAAAAGGCCTTGAGCTTGCAATTGATCATCAACTGTTGGCTCTCCTGGTCATTCTCATCAAACCAGTCATGATGTTTCCTGGTAGAGAATCCAAGTGTCTCTTCACAGGCTCTGATGATGGTGACCTTGAGGGCACCCCTATTACAGAAAAGCAATGAGCAGTTCTGCTGCTGCAAAGACCTCAGGAAGCCCACAAAATGTCACAATATTTTAAACACTATGAATTCCTATTTTAAATCTTTGGGCTTATCTTATAACTCATGTTTGCCCACCTAAGAGTGCTAGCATTGTAGGGCACCCTGTAGCACCCTCAGAAGGATCCCAAGGTACTGGAACACCCTAGTTGAGAATCACTACACTAATGTATTACACATTCAAATACATGAGTTAGGACAGGGATTGGCAACCCCTGGCACGTATGCGAGAGCATAGCACATGAGGCTATTTTGGTCAGTACACCATGGCCAGCCTGGGCTTTGGGCAGCTGTTGCCAGCCATGAAACTCAGGCTTCTCCCAGCAGGTGGCTGATAGGCTGCAAGCCCTGCTACAGCAACCCGAGCTCCACGGCTGGCAGCAGGTACCCAGAGCCTGGACCAGCTGCAGGGACAGCACCAGTCTCTTCCTGCTGGGGGGTCACAGGGAGGGCTGTGATGTGGGTGGGAGCAGGGTGGGCTCAGCTGCATGGAGTGAGTGGGAGTGGCCCAGGCGGTGCTGGAGGGGTGGCTACAGGGGAGTTAAGGTGAATTTTGGGGAGGCTGTAGTCCCCCCAAGCTCCCTATAGCACCATTCTTGTGGGCTTCAGAGCCCCAGCTGGGCTTTGTGCCAGCAGCTGCATGCACCCCTCTGGGCAGACAGCAGGAGAGGGGCCTGAGGCAGCACAACCTCAAGCCCCTCCCCCACATCCGCTCTGAGGCACACATGCAGTTGCTGCCAGCATGGAGCTGGTGCTGGGGTTCTGGAGCCCTGGCATCAGCTCTGTGCTGGCGACAACTGCACACATGGGGCACGGGGCAGGGGAGGGGGTGAGACAGTGTGCATGCCTTTGGGTGGAGGGGCCAGGGTTGCACTGCCTCAGCCCCTCCCCTCCCTTGCCCCATGCCCTGAGCACATGAGCAGTCGCTGCCAGCACAGAGCCGTTTTTGAAGTGGTCTGCAGCCATGCACTTGTGTTTGGTCAAGGCTATAGACTGCTTTCAGTGGCCAGATCAGGTGAAAATTGTCACTTCTGTCTTTGCCCTCAGTGAATCACTTTCTATAAGTTGTGATGCAAGAGGTAGAACCCACTTGTACTTTTACACTAGGCAAAGGAAAAGACATGTACAAAGAGCAGACCTATGTCTCTTCACTTCAAAGAATGTGAAGAACTATGTAGTTGTTTCCAAGAGCTAAGGCAATTTAGAATCATCCCACTGTCTTTTGAAACCTTTTCCTTAATTCTTCTGCTCCATTCAGCACTGCTGATGCCTCTCCTGGAGTACGGTGTCCAGTTTTGGGCACCACACTTCAAGAAGGATGTGGATAGATTGGGAAGTGTCCAATGCAGAGCAACATAAATGATCAGGGGCCTAGAAAGCAAAACTTACTAGGAAAGGCTGAAAGAGCTAAGGTTATTTAGCTTGGAGAAGAGAAGACTGGGGACGGGGCAGAACTTGATAACAGTTTTCAAATACCTGAAGGACAGTTACAGAGTGGATGGAGAACCACAGCTGAGTTGGGCTATTGTCATGTTAGAACCAGTATTAGCTGGTGTAACAGAGGGGTCAGAGCACCCACAACAACAGCAGAAAAACCCTTTGTGTCCCCCTATTTGAACTGTGTGCCCTGTGCTCGCCGTCCATGCCTTTGTTGTTATTACATATTTGAGTTGCAGGAGGCTACCACAATCTTTGTGGTGCTGGCTATCTTGGTGGCCCTGGCTGTATGGGACACCACCCATGGCTCCGACCTGACCTACACCATGTCCCATGCCTCATAGGGGACACTGTTACAGCCCTTTCTAGTATCGATCCATTCCATTCCCGTTCAGTATCAGAGCTGAGCTCCACCTCAGCTCATGACTCCCTGGACTGCTAAGCTGTCCTACCCAGTTATTCCATCTGGTATGGCTTGT